GCCATCCCGGTCTGACAGGAGGTTTGGGCAAACGTTGCGATATTGTTTGGGGCTTAAGCGGTTGTTCGCATTTGTGATGCCATTGCGACACCAGCAACGATGCCTTGCTTGTGCGGGGCTGTGGAGCGTGAGGCAGGCACCAAAGGCACCGAAGTCCCAAATTTCTGTGTGACTTCTGGGCTGTGCCATTCACGAGCTGCTTGCGCTTGCGAGAAGCTTCTCGAAGCGGCTTCGCTGGCATCGACCAGCCTTGGGAAAGTGCAGTTTTTCCGCAAGCGCTCCTACGACAGAGTGGCTCTGTGCCGTGAGAGCTATAGACTGGTCAGTTGGAGATCGGGCTGATTGGAGGGGCGCTCCTTTTTTTGAGGCAACCGCCAAGAACGTGTTTCGGGCTTCACATGTCGGAGCCGGAGGGGAGAGTTCTGATGTGGCTCCACTTCAGCATATTTTTCAGCTCACTGTGCAGACGAAGCAGCAACGGGCAAGCCTTCAGTACGCTCACAGTGGCTAATGGGCGAGCGATCACGGCATTAGCTGCGACAGGGCAACCCATGCATAAAGAGAAGGCGTCTCCTGATGTAGCCCGATTCTTGACAGCAAAGCCGATAGTTGGTAGAAGCGATTGAAAGCCATCTGAGTGATTCCCAGGCGATGTCCGAAGGACACGTCGCAGTTGTGGAAACGTGTTGATGGCGTTGTGTATCATGACAGCATATATGGAGAACCCAGCAGACCGCATGAGCCTGTGCGGTTCTAGCCATTGGTGTGTTGGTGACTCAGCCCTTTGAGCGCGCCATCCCGGTCTGACAGGAGGGTTGGGCAAACGTTGCGATATTGTTTAGGGCTTAAGCGATTGTTCGCATTTGTGATGCCATTGCGACACCAGCAACGATGCCTTGCTTGTGCAGGGCTGTGGAGCGTGAGGAGGAACCGACGGCACCGAAGTCCCAAATTTCTCCTGTTTGACTTCTGGCAAGCGTCCTCACTCAGAACAAGCCGGTCGCTTCTTGTCCACTACATGTTTTTGCCCTATCGGCTCGTGGCTCTGCTTGCAGACAGATTTCGAACCGTGAGAGGTATGGGCTGCAGATCAGTCGGAAGTCGTTCGGCGCGGTGCAACAAGAGGGGCACTGCTGTTTACGAGGCATACAGGGCAGCACCAAGGCCATGTTTCGGGCTTCACATGTCGGAGCCGGAGGGGAGAGTTATGATGTGTCTCCGCTTTAGCATGTTTTTCAGCTGGTCACTGCGCAGACGGTACAGAGGCCAGCAAGCCCCCAGTACGCTCACAGTGGCTGATGGGCTAGCGATCACGGCACCAGCCGCGCAAGACAGCGCAGTGAAGCCCGACTGTTGACAGTATGGCCGATATTTTGCAGAAGCCTTTGCACGTAGCTGAATGAATCCTGAGCGGGTCCCTTCGGACATGTCGCAGCTGTGGAAATACGTTGAAGGTGTTGTGTAGTGCGGCAGCATCTATGGAGAACGCAGCAGACCGCATGAGCCCGTGCGCTTGTGTCCATTGGTGTGTTGGTGACTCAGCCCTGTGAGCGGGCCATCCCGGTCTGACACAGGAATGTTTGACGGCGTTGGGTGAAAACTTGCGATATGTTTTCAGGCTCAATCGATTGACGCCATTGCGTCGACAGCAACGATGCCTTGCTTGCGCGGGCTGTTGGAGCGTGAGGCAGACACCGAAGGAGCACATGTCTCCTGCGTGACTTCTGGCAAGCTGCGCCATGTCAAACGAGCTGCTTTTCAATGGCGGCCGGGCTATCGATTGCCACTGCGACTGCAGCGGACAAGGTTATGCTGATTGCGATCGATTGAAAGCCAAAGCACTACCTAGCAGATAGAGTTTAACGGAGTTTAAAGGCATCGCTGTAGCTCTGAACAGAAGCCCTGGATTTGTTAGCGCGCCAGCATTTGTGGAGCAAGCAACAGACTTGATGAGTGTGTGCACTTTCCAGTACTCGTCTGGCGAGTCAAGCGCAGAGTCTGATGTAAGCTGAGAAAATCAGGCGACAATCTGCCCGGCCTTTCAACTGTTTCCATTGGTTGATCTCATGTTGATGGTGTTGCGTGTTGTGTCGTCGGCAGGAATGCCCTGCTCGCGGGGCTGTGGAACTTTGGGGCAGGCACGAGAGACACCGATAGCCGCTCTGTGAGTTGCCGACAAAGACTCCACGCCAACGACAATGCTTGCACTCGCTTTGCTGGCATCGACTCGAAGACTTCTGCAGATGCAGACTTTCAGTGAGAGCTGGCCCCGTGGCGGTCTGGCTTCATTAACTTTATTAGCGCTTGTCGGAGCCATAGAAAGCAAAATGTATCGAGCTGAAAAGTTCTGAGTCAGGAGCTGAATTTGCGCAACACGCAAGCCACGTTGCACCGCAATCCTTCACGTTAGTAGCAGATGTGGTACGACTGCCGCCTTGATGTCTTGATGCCTTGACACCTGACGTTCCTTAAGGCCTTGACGGCTTGATTGTTCGCAGTCAAAAGACAGTTTGAACCCATGTTCTTGCGGGTATTGTTTTGCAGCTGACTCAACTTGTTGAAGGCGGCAACGCGGTTTGAGAAGGACTGGGAGACAGGCTGTTTTCGCTCAGGCCCTGCAATTGTTTCCATTGGTTCAAGGGACTGATCTTATGTTGATGGTGTTGCGTGTTGTGTCGTCGGCAGGAATGCCCTGCTCGCGGGGCTGTGGAACTTTGGGACAGGCGCAAGAGACACCGGTAGCCCGCTCTGTGAGTTGCAGACAAAGACTCCATGCCAACAACAATGCTTGCGCTCTCTCGCTCCCAGAGCATTCCTGCTGCAATGATGTTCTTTTTTCTCAGCGTCTCATCACATATAGAGGTCCTATCGGGATCTGTTTGTGGCTAACTGTTGTGTCAGTTGAAGCACACCACGAAACACAACCATATCTTGTTAAATTGAATGACGCCAAAGCGCCTTCAAGCAAAGGCAAAGCATTGCCAGAGAGAATGAGTTTCCAGTGCTGCTTCCCTACATATGCCGCCAATTAGAAGGGCCTTGAAAGAAGTTGTGTCAATGACAGTATTGCAAGCCACTTTCCCAGATCATTGGTTGAGCCCGTGCAGCGTCCCCGCTTGTGATGGCGACTCGGCTTGTTAAGCGCAGCGTCACACTCAGCCAAGAAAGATTGGGGCCGCTTCTTGCTGGACCTTGCAACTGTTTCCACTGGTTCGAATGCCCTGCTCGCGGGGCTGTGGAACTTTGGGGCAGGCACGAGAGACACCGATAGCCGCTCTATGAGTTGCCGACAAAGACTCCATGCCAACGACAATGCTTGCACTCGCTTTGCTGGCATCGACTCGAAGACTTCTGCAGATGCAGACTTTCAGTGAGAGCTGGCCCAGTGGCGGTCTGGCTTCATTAACTTTATTAGCGCTTGTCGGAGCCATAGAAAGCAAAATGTATCGAGCTGAAAAGCTTTGAGTCAGGAGCTGAATTTGCGCGATACGCAAGCCACGCTGCACCGCAATCCTTCACGTTAGTAGCAGATGTGGTACGACTGCCGCCTTGATGTCTTGATGCCTTGACACCTGACGTTCCTTAAGGCCTTGACGGCTTGATTGTTCGCACTCAAAAGACAGTTTGAACCCATGTGCTTGCGGGTATTGTTTCGCAGCTGACTCAAGCTTGTTGAAGGCGGCAACGCGGTTTGAGAAGGACCGGGAGAGAGGCTGTTTTCGCTCAGGCCCTGCAAGTGGTTCCATTGGTTCAAGGGACTGATCTTATGTTGATGGTGTTGCGTGTTGTGTCGTCGGCAGGAATGGCCTGCTCGCGGGGCTGTGGAACTTTGGGACAGGCGCAAGAGACACCGATAGCCCGCTCTGTGAGTTGCAGACAAAGACTCCATGCCAACGACAATGCTTGCATTCGCTTTGCTGGCATCGACTCGATGACTTCTGCAGATGCAGACTTTCAGTGAGAGCTGGCCCCATGGCGGTCTGGCTTCATTAACTTTATTAGCGCTTGTCGGAGCCATAGAAAGCAAAATGTATCGAGCTGAAAAGCTTTGAGTCAGGAGCTGAATTTGCGCGATACGCAAGCCACGCTGCACCGCAATCCTTCACGTTAGTAGCAGATGTGGTACGACTGCCGCCTTGATGTCTTGATGCCTTGACACCTGACGTTCCTTAAGGCCTTGACGGCTTGATTGTTCGCAGTCAAAAGACAGTTTGAACCCATGTTCTTGCGGGTATTGTTTCGCAGCTGACTCAACTTGTTGAAGGCGGCAACGCGGTTTGAGAAGGACTGGGAGACAGGCTGTTTTCGCTCAGGCCCTGCAATTGTTTCCATTGGTTCAAGGGACTGATCTTATGTTGATGGTGTTGCGTGTTGTGTCGTCGGCAGGAATGCCCTGCTCGCGGGGCTGTGGAACTTTGGGACAGGCGCAAGAGACACCGATAGCCCGCTCTGTGAGTTGCAGACAAAGACTCCATGCCAACAACAATGCTTGCGCTCTCTCGCTCCCAGAGCATTCCTGCTGCAATGATGTTCTTTTTTCTCAGCGTCTCATCACATATAGAGGTCCTATCGGGATCTGTTTGTGGCTAACTGTTGTGTCAGTTGAAGCACACCACGAAACACAACCATATCTTGTTAAATTGAATGACGCCAAAGCGCCTTCAAGCAAAGGCAAAGCATTGCCAGAGAGAATGAGTTTCCAGTGCTGCTTCCCTACATATGCCGCCAATTAGAAGGGCCTTGAAAGAAGTTGTGTCAATGACAGTATTGCACGCCACTTTCCCACAGCGCGAAGCGTCATTTCTGAGCGACAGCAGAACTATTTTTTATATGTTGCATGCGAGATTTAGAAGCGGCAGTCCGCATACTGCTGTACTTCAGTTTCCTCAGCTGGTCACTGGTGAGGTGCGGAGGTTAAGCTCCAGTGCAATGGCTGCTGAGCATGAGATCCAGTGATCGGTTGAGAGCCAAGCTGTCCGGCGGATGCTTTCACAGCATCAATGGATTTGTATAGCGCAACATATATTGAGAAAGAAGCAGACTCTGAGCCAGTGCGCTTTGGTCCATTTGGGTGCTGGCGACTCAACTTGCTGAATGCAGCTTCGCAGTCTAACCCAAGAGGCTTGGGGCGGCTTTCTGTCAGGCATTGCAACCACTCGCGCTGGCTCAATGGGTTGATTTTATACTGCCACAGTGTTGCAGCGTTGCCCTGCTTGCATGGGGCGGTACCCCTTGGGGCAGACATGGCCCGACGACCTTCTGGCAGCAACATTGACTGTGCTTGCCTGGAGCCACGCTCCCCAAAGTCAGGTTTTTGGCATCCACCAAAGGTCTATGAAGGCAATTGCTGCTTTTCAGCAGGCACTAGCCGTGTCACGGTGCGGCTTTCTTTGTTGGCATTGTGCCGAGCTAGACGGGCGCAAGCGCGCAATTGCAACAGCACGCATGCTGAGCTATTTGACAGTGGCTTTGCACGGAAGGTCAAAAGTGGCTACAGCGAGCCAGCTCCCCTACCAAAGAAGGCACGAATAGATTGACTTTTTGTACCCTCCAGCCCTTTCAGCCGTTTCAACCTGCATGTCGTGGCGCAGACTCAAGTTTACTGGAAGCAGCGCAGCAGGCTGACCTTGTTTGAGAGGCTTGGGTCGAATTCTGCTGCAACAGCTTCATTGGACTCAACTGAACCCCTCACTCATCAAGACAAAGCTATGTCATTGCTTGTTTTTGCACTGTAACAGACCGTGTCACACGCTGATGCTGAAGCCCTGCAGCTATCGCGGGCATCATTCCGCGAGCACACAGAAGAAGTGTTGATCCTGTGCGCTTGCGAGTATTGTTGTGCTGGTGACTCAAGCATGCTGCAAGTGGCAATGCAGTTTCAGAAACTAGGAAGCTCCAGCAACTTCGGTCAGGCCTTGCGACTGTTTCCACTGGCTCCACCGGCTGATCTCACGTTGATGGTGTTGCAGTGTTGCCGGGATGGCAGAAATGCCCTGTTTGCGAGGGGCTGCGCAGCTTGGCCAGTCATGACAGACCCAATTCGCCACTCCATGAGTTAGTGGCTGACTCCATGCCAGGCATGCTGCTTGTACTTTCGCGGAAGTCTTCCTGAAGCCACCTGGCTGGCTGCGTAAAGGTCTTGCCTTTAAATTTGAAAGGCGCTCTAGCCGTGTTTGGCACAGCCAGAGGGTAGTCAGATGCCCAAGGCGTGCAGAACAGCAACAAGGCCAAAGCTGCGTGCGAGGACTTTGAGATCGTAAAGCTGTTCGACTGCCTTGGGTTTGCTTCGGATGGCTTGCAAGAAGATTCTGAAGTTCGACTGTAATTTCCCGCGCCATGGTTGTCCAGACTGCATGACCCAGTCTCGCAGGTTTCTGATGCATTGACGCCACATGACCCTGACGTGCGCTGGGCAAGTCCTTTGCACTGGGGCAAGAGACTAATTCCAAGCAGGTGAAAGGTAGCTTTGCAAGTTGGGGTCGCAGCTTACGACGGTCTTTGCTGGCAGCTTAACCAAACAAAAGCTGAGGCGATGCTGCTTGCAAATCTGTGGGTGTCCGCAGACTAATTTCGCGACTCAAGCTTGTTTACTTGCAGGTGTTTGCATAGTAAACCATGTCACATGACCTGCCCGCGGCTTTTTCAGTGTTGGATTCTGCAAAATGAAGTATAGAGTTGGAGTCAAGGGCCCTGAAGCATAATTAGCACAAGGAGGTCATGCGTGAGATTTGCAAATGCAGGTGCGCAGCCTGCTAGCAAAATCACATGACTGGGCATCTTGAGAGTAGTGTTGAGACCCTGCCCTTGTGAGCGTGTCTTGCACGATTCACACTGCAATTTCAGGTGCCATTCCGCTTTTTCAGAGGTTAGTTGTGGTTTGCCGTCCTTGCAGACATATCTTGAGTAGCTAGTGGTGTGTAGCTTTCTCCATGGACAGCAGTTCTTTTGTTCCTTGGGTCATCTCTTGTTTTTGCCTGATGGCCCCGCCACGCGCGACTGTTACAGGTGCCCTCAGATGCCAAGACAAATGCGTCAGCCTGCAACAGTATAAGCTAGCAGCCTTAAGCTAGATGCCTGCAAGTCTTGCTTCGCCGCAAGCACGCCGCAGCGTTGCAAAAGACACTGCTGTGCCATGTTCGCCCGGCTCAATGCAGGCCCGGTTTAGGTTTGTGGAAGTTTCAGCTTTTGAGGTTTTGAGGGGCTGGCAGCGGGGTTGGCAGCGGGGGTGGCCAGGAAGGAGTCTCCAAGCTTCCAAGACCTGATCAAATCCGCACGCAACGTCCGGTTAAGCAGCGCTGGCTGAGGGTGCTGCCTGCGACCTGTTCCGTTGCTCGAGTTCACCCAGACTGTAGGTTGCGGTTCGTGCGTTCTACTTGTGATGCGCATGCCGGTGTTTAACGCGCGCACGTGTGTAGAGCACGAGCTTGGCAACCCACACCAACTGCAAGTGCCCACGACATGATGAAGTTCCCTGACAAACTTGCGACGCTTGGGCGCGGTGGCCAAGCTGACTGCAAAGTTGTGGCTGAAAAGCCCCAGATGTCTTGATCATGCTAGCAGGTGCCGCTCGCCTGCTGCAAAGCTCAATGTCCCGCTGTCACGCCTTCTTGCAGCAGCACCTTGGCCCTGCTTGTTGGATTTTCCCTTTGGAAGCTTTTCTGCACTGCGGAATGTCGCACGCCTTGCTTGACGCTGTGCTACGTTAGATTCCGGCCATCTGGTGCATCTTGTGCTTTGTGGCTCTAGCTTCGGAAGCTCTGTGGCCATCAAGTTGGCCGAAGAGCTGTCAAGGTGTGGCCTTTGTGTTCGTGGCCTTGCTGCGTAGATAGCTGCTGTGTTGCCCGGCGACTGCTTGGAAGCCAACTGTGAATCCGTGCCTCATGCAAGCAGGGGCTCTTCAGTCACTCCGCTTGGCCATCACAAATCTGAATTGTGAGGCCCCCGCAGTTCCGCGTGGCTTGCTTCGGCTGCGAATATCGCCAGCCCAGATTTTGGCAGACGGTGCGGCATCCACACAGGCAATGTCGCAGTTTCAAGCAGACACGGATCATTGGGACTTGCCTAATTCCCACTTGTGGGATATAGCCCAAGCGCTTGCTTCGCAGATGCGGAACTGGTGCAACAAACGCGCTCTTGTTGAGCAACAACAGCCAACGGCACGAACCTCGAGATCAGGCAGTGTTGCTTCTGCCAAGTGCTCCAGATCTTCCATGTCTCTGGATTCGTTTCCCCGACCACAATGTGTCGCGACGAAAGAGGCATCCTGATACCGTGTCAAGGTGGCACCCATTGAGCCACCGAAGTCAGGGGCCAGATGTTGTGGCTCCCAGCGTGTGGCAGTTCTGTGGTGCTCCATGAGAGGGATTCCGTTTATGTCTTCGGAAGTGGTTTGAAGAAATGTGCCCTTTCCCGCAGCAGATCACGTGCACGGCTCGCCGTAATTCGAGATGTCGCTGTTGTGGCCAGAATCTTGGCCTCCCGGCTCGGCACGACAGCCTTGAATGTCAAGTGTGATTGGTGACCAGCCCACTTCCATTGCGCTCGTCGCAGCAAACGGCTGCGTGATTCGCCGCGCAGATTCCGCAAGAGGCTCCACCACTCCCTGAGTCTCGGCCAATCCATCTGCCTCCGCTTCAAGCTGAGTGGAGCTCACATAGCTGTCAGGAAGCCTAAAAACACCTTGCCTTCGTCAGCGGTGCGAAACAGCAGGCTAGTTCGGCCGACCCAGATCCGAAGCCAGTTGCAGTTTTCTATCCCCACCCCTTTGAAAGGTGCACTTTTCTCCCCCTTGTGCTCCATTCCATTTTCGCAAGACCTCATGTTCGGCCATTGAGGGGGTGGGGATGTGGAAGTTTGGGCGGAATGGAAAGCGGCAAGTCAGCCAAGGCAACCCTTGAAATCATTTTGTTTTGTTTAAATCCTTGAATTTGCAGGCAGAAGGCAACTCAGACAAGCGTGAAGCTGTGATTCTGCCGAACATCAAATGCTTGAGAGGCGTTGTTCCTACCGCGGTGACTCAGACTCCTCAGAAGCATGGTTGGCAGGAGCTCAAAAGTAGTTGAGCCTGCGCGCTTTGGAGCGTGCGAATGTTGCTGCAACGAGTTTTCTGCAGGCAACAAGGCAAGCTGAGGATTGCGATGGCTGCTGTTGCCCAGGCGCAGGCAATGTGACTGCTGCAGAACCTCAATGAGCGTTTGCTGCCGAGTGTACCCGAGAAACACCGAGTTTGCGTGCGACAATGTAGCAATTTGATTCGTGTTGTGCGTATCCGCTAGCAAGGTGGCATTCCGTTGCAAAGGGCGAACAGTACGCTGACTTACCTGGCCGATGCCACGAGAAAGATGATAAAGTCACCAATTGCTGCGCGCCATGCCTGTGTCGAGGCCGTCTTGTGAGGGCTTCTGGCTTTGGCAGGCAGAAGATAGCGTGGAGGTTCAGCAGAATCATGAAGCCGCAGGCCAAGCTGCCATCTAGGCGTGGTGGAGGCCGTACTTGTGGGGTGTCAAGCGTTTCAAGGGTACGGTATTGTTCCTGCCGCTGTTGCTCAGAAGGTGGCGCTTGGCAGAAGCTAAAGAGCAGTTGAGCCCGTGTGCTTTGGAGCATGGGTGTGTCGCTGCACACAGTTTGCTGCAGACGGCGACGCAAGCTGACACAGGCTGTGAGACTTGTGACGGCTGTTGCTTCCCAAGCGCAGTCGATGTGATTGCTACAGAATCTCAGTGAACGTTTTTTAAGCCAAGATTTGTTTGGCAACATGCCTTCGTGCGACAACCTGCCAGACTGATGCAATTCGCACGTATCAAGTGCCAGGCTGGCATTTCCTGGCAAAGGGCGCAAAGTGCTCAAACTTGACTGTCCCAGCCCTCTTGATGAACGTGATAATTTCGATCAGGAATTTGCCTGACCAGCCGCACGATGGGTGCGCAGCTGCTGTTGCAGTGAGCTGATTTGTGACTGATGGTGGTTGAAGACGAAGTGTGCATCGTCGTCCAACTGAGCAGCCAGCTGGCCGGTGCAGTCGTGTAGCAGCACAAGGCCAAGTCTTCCAAGTTGCATGTCGGGCGATCCCTAGCTTTGTTTTCAGCCGTAAGGGACGGCCGCAGCTCACATCAGCAAAACTCGGGCCGCTCTGCTGGACCAAATGGACACAGGGCCAGTAAATCAGCGCTGCGCGCTGCGCCTGTGTCGAGGCCGTCTTGTGAGGGCTTCTGGCTTTGGCAGGCAGAAGATAGCGTGGAGGTTCGGCAGAATCATGAAGCCGCCTGAGGCCAAGTTATCTAGACGTGCTGGCGGCCGTCGGCCGTACTTGTTGGGTATCACACGATTGAAGTTCATTGAAGCGCGTGGCGCCTCCCGCGCTTGGCAGAAGCTAAAGAGCAGTTGAGCCCGTGCGCTTTGGAGCATGGGTGTGTCGCTGCACACAGTTTGCTGCAGGCGGCGAGGCAAGCTGACAAAGGCTGTGAGGCTTGCGACGGCTGTTGCTGCCCAAGCGCAGTCGATGTGCTTGCCACACAGTCTCAGTGAACGTTATTGCGACAACCTGCCAGACTGATGCAATTCGCACGTAGCAAGTGCCAGGCTGGCATTTCCTGGAAAAGGGCGCAAAGTGCTCAAACTTGACTGTCCCAGCCCTCTTGATGAACGTGATAATTTCGATCAGGAATTTGCCTGACCAGCCGCACGATGGGTGCGCAGCTGCTGTTGCAGTGAGCTGATTTGCGACTGATGGTGGTTGAAGACGAAGTGTGCATCGTCGTCCAACTGAGCAGCCAGCTGGCCGGTGCAGTCGTGTAGCAGCACAAGGCCAAGTTTTCCAAGTTGCATGTCGGGCGATCCCTAGCTTTGTTTTCAGCCGTAAGGGACGGCCACAGCTCACATCAGCAAAGCTCGGGCCGTTCTGCTGGACCAAGTGGACAAAGGGCCAGTAAACCAGCGCTGTGCGCTGCGCCTGTGTCGAGGCCGTCTTGTGAGGGCTTCTGGCTTTGGCAAGCAGAAGATAGCGTGGAGGTTCAGCAGAATCATGAAGCCGCAGGCTAAGTTGCCATCTAGGCGTGGTGGAGGTGGGGTGTCAAACGTTTCAAGGGTACGGTATTGTTCCTGCCGCTGTTGCTCAGAAGGTGGCGCTTGGCAGAAGCTAAAGAGCAGTTGAGCCCGTGCGCTTTGGAGCATGGGTGTGTCGCTGCACACAGTTTGCTGCAGGCGGCGAGGCAAGCTGACAAAGGCTGTGAGGCTTGCGACGGCTGTTGCTGCCCAAGCTCAGTCGATGTGATTGCTACAGAATCTCAGTGAACGTTATTTAAGCCAAGATTTGTTTGGCAACATGCTTTCGTGCGACAGCCTACCAGACTGATGCAATTTACACGTATCAAGTGCCAGGCTGGAATTTCCTGGCAAAGGGCGCAAAGTGCTCAAACTTGACTGTCCCAGCCCTCTTGATGAACGTGATAATTTCCAGGAATCTGCCTGACCAGCCGCACGATGGGTGCGCAGCTGCTGCTGCAGTGAGCTGATTTGTGACTGATGGTGGTTGAAGACGAAGTGTGCATCGTCGTCCAACTGAGCAGCCAGCTGGCCGGTGCAGTCGTGTAGCAGCACAAGGCCAAGTTTTCCAAGTTGCATGTCGGGCGATCCCTAGCTTTGTTTTCAGCCGTAAGGGACGGCCGCAGCTCACATCAGCAAAGCTCGGGCCGGTCTGCTGGACCAAGTGGACACAGGGCCAGTAAATCAGCGCTGCGCGCTGCGCCTGTGTCGAGGCCGTCTTGTGAGGGCTTCTGGCTTTGGCAGGCAGAAGATAGCGTGGAGGTTCGGCAGAATCATGAAGCCGCCTGAGGCCAAGTTATCTAGGCGTGCTGGCGGCCGTCGGCCGTACTTGTTGGGTATCACACGATTGAAGTTCATTGAAGCGCGTGGCGCCTCCCGCGCTTGGCAGAAGCTAAAGAGCAGTTGAGCCCGTGCGCTTTGGAGCATGGGTGTGTCGCTGCACACAGTTTGCTGCAGGCGGCGAGGCAAGCTGACAAAGGCTGTGAGGCTTGCCCAAGCGCAGTCGATGTGATTGCTACAGAACCTTAGTGAACGTATTTGTTGGACAAAACATGCTTTTGTGCGACAACCTGCCAGACTGATGCAATTTACACGTGTCAAGTGCCAGGCTGGCATTTCCTGGCAAAGGGCGCAAAGTGCTCAAACTTGACTGTCCCCTCTTGATGAACGGGATAATTTCGATCAGGAATCTCCCTGACCAGCCGCACGATGGGTGTGCAGCTGCTGTTTCAGTGATCTGACTTGTGACTGATGCTGGTTGAAGACGAATGCTGGACCACGTGGACACACGTCCAGTAAACCAGCGCTGCACGCTAGGACGTCTTCTGAATCAGCCGGGTGGACGGGAAAGGCTTTGCATTCTGCCGGCCGCAATGCGCTGGAACAATCCAGTTGCGAGGCCCATCCAACACTGTTCTGCATGGACAATGTTGAATGACAAAGCCACGAGGTTTGGGCAGCTTCATGAGCTGGCCAAGTTTGTCCCGCGCCGTCGCAGCCGATGGTTGCTGTTTTGGCTCGTCTGACGCACAAGCAGCGCAAGAGCTTCCCCCTTGCATCATCGTTCAACTGCGCAAGCTGGCAGTGACGGCCTGTTCCATAGAGGCATTCTGGGTGAGGACCAGATGGCAGCAGAGTGTGCAAAAGGCAGACAGCTTAGACAGCTTGAGTGCATGTTGGCCCCGAGGCATAGTAGCACATCCATGAAGTGTTCTAGAACAACAAGCAGAGTGGACACAGACACAAACGCAAGCGCGAACACAAGCACCGCCACCAACACCAATGCAACCACGACCGCGCTCGCGTGCACACACACACACACACACCAACACCGACACGAACAGCAACAGCGCCTTCACCGCCACCGCCACCCACCACCACCACCACCCACAACCGCCCACCGCCGCCGCCGCCGCCACCACTACCACCACTACCACCACCCGCCACCGCCACCACCACCACCAACAACAACCACAACAACTACTACTACTACTACAACAACAACAACTACTACTACTACTACAACTACAACTAAAACAACTACAACAACTACTACCACTACAACTACAACTACGACTACGACTATGATTACGACAACGACACCACCAACAACAACAACAACAACAACAACAACAACAACAACAACAACAACAACAACAACAACAACAACAACAACAACAACAACAACAACAACAACAACAACAACAACAACAACAACAACAACAAC